CACGCGCAGAGAACATGATCAATGTAACAGTCGGCCTTCGCTTTATATTCGCGGTGTGAGTTTGTTAGTTTTTTTCGCAATCATAAACCTTGGTGTTTATTCAAAAGTAGTATGTCTTTGCGCTTGCGTTGCACTTGTTTTGCGCATGGTGCATGGTACCGCACTGCATGTACTACTATGTCTGTTTTTTTTAGCAAAACGCCATGTTCCACTGATTACTCTGCACGGACAATATGACCCATCATTTTGCCACATTAATATGAATAATTGCTCCCTCGATCATTCTTGTAAACCAAAAGACAATCTTTTACAAACTTGCTACACATGCCGGAAAGAAAGTCATAACCTAGTTAGAATATACTATATGTCTAGTTACCACTGTTGTGATAATGTAAACATAGAATGGAGCAAAGGTAACCAAGGATTTAAATTATATATGTGAGTGAATTGGGTGGGATAATGCACATGCCTAATCACTACTGTTCTGATAATGTAAACATAGAATGGAGCAAAGGCAGCCAAGCATTTAAATTATATATGTGAGTGAATGGACCCTTTGCATTATAGACTAAATTTTGATCTAGACAAAAATTTCATTACATCTTGAAAGAGCATCACAAAATTAGTAATATTCCAAAGTTTCGTTGCGAAATGTTGTAAAATGCGGATAATATAGCCATGCGAAGTTTGCCGTTTTTCAGTCATTTTGTATTACGCACGGGAAATTGACAGCCCAGTCCGGTGTTGGGGCATCAATTTCCCGTTTGTAATACAAAATGACTGAAAATTGCAAATTTCGCAAGGCTATATTATCCGCATTTTAACATTCACAACGGAAGAAATACTGTGATGCTCCCCAACCAATAAAATTTTGCCCTAAAATTCAGTCTACAATACAATGGTCCCATAGATAAGGATAACATGCCTGGTCACTGTTCAGCAATGTAAGCATAGAATAGACAAAAGTAGCCAAGCATTTAAATTATATAAGTGAGTGAATTGGGTGGGATAATTCACATGCCTAGTCACTACTGTTCTGTAATGTAAACATAGAATGGAGCAAAGGTAGCCAAGCATTTAAGTTATATATGTGAGTGAATTGGGTGGGATAATTCACATGCCTAGTCACTACTGTTCTGTAATGTAAACATAGAAGAGAGCAGAGGTAGCCAAGCATTTAAGTTATATATGTGAGTGAATTGGGTGGGATACAGTGGCGTAGCAAACTCGATAATTGAGGGGGGGCCAATATTCATATATTCGTGTTCTGCATCATTAATTTCTTTTGAAATCAATTGTTTTTAAGGTCTGCATGTGAACACGAATATATGAATATTGCCCCCCCCCCCCCACAATTATCGAGTTTGCTACGCCGCTGCTGGTGGGGTAATTCACATGTCTAGTTACTACTGTTCTGGTAGTATATAGGCATAGAATGAAACAAAGGTAGCTAAACATTTAAATTATATTATATGTGAGTGAATTGGGTGGGATAACTCACATGCCTAGTCACTATATACTGTTCTGATAATGTAAACATATAGAATGAAACAAAGATAGGTATAACCAAGCATTTAAGGTGGCTCCCTACAGTTATTCTTGTTTAAGCAATAATTACGTAAAACAGGCTTACTCGTGCAGAACGCGAATTCTTTTCGATTTGGTGGCAATATTGGTCACCTAAGGAATATTTTGAACTAGATTTCGACGATGTCAATGTTCCCATGGCAACATGACGACAGCATAAAGCCTTCCAATTTAACCCATAAATGTGCCGCTATCTCAAAAACGATGTCGGTGACCTATCTTTTTTATTTCATATATCAATAAGGAATGATGCTCTGCAGCTGTGGTGAAAGTTTAAAAAAATTCTGTAGTGTGTGATTTTTTTAAAAGCGAAAAATTTATTGCGAAATTTCCACACTACAGATTTTTTTAAAATTTGAAATTTATAAAATTTACCGCAGAATAAACTCGTGGTCAAAATTTGAAGATAGGTCACCGATGAAACTAATGAGTAAAATGCAAATAAAGTTATAAAATAGCCTCGCGTAACTCGAGAAATTCCCCTATTGAAAAGCGTCGCTGACTAGTAAAAGATTGTACGTGGGCGCAGAACGAGTTTTCATTCAGCAAAATCGAGCCGCAATGTTGTTTTTACTGTTTCGTTTTTGTCAACTTTTCGATTTATTTGAGTGCTATGGACAGCCAAGGATTATTGTGAAGGATTAAATCGATGAAAACAAGGTTGAAGCTAGTTGAATCCTGCCGTTTACTCAATCTATGAGCTGTAACAGCTATTTAACAGGTGGACGTGTTTTTTGTTTCATGTTTGGTTTTGTACTTTTTGCTAAAAATGAACAATTAGGCTATGAAGCAGAAGTATTTTTCTGTTTACATATAATCACTTTAATCTTGTAGAAACACGACTAAAAACGTGAACGTTTTCTTGAGAAGTAAACAACTTTTTAATAAACGTTTGTATGCAATTTTGCAAATGTTTTAATACAGTTGAGTCAGTTGACAGTGTATAAAAAAATTTTAAAATATTGTTTCGTAGCTATTTTTTGGTCTACTGATATTCGTATCATATGTAGAATTGCTGTATAGACTCGCAAGTGATTTGGCACTCAAAACGAAGTATTATTCAACGCTTTTTTCCATTGTCAATTTTTTATTTGTTTTGATCATGCAGTTGCGTGGGATAGTTCACGTACTTGTCCCGCGAACATCCCGCACGGAACTGTAGGGAGCCTCCTTAAATTATGTTTGTGAGTGAATTGGGTGGAATAACTCACATGTTTAGTTACCATTGTTTTGGTAATATAAACATAGAATGAAAGAAAGGTAACCAAGCATTTAAATTATATATTTAAATTTCTTCAAATCTATTTTCAAAATAACTACTCGGACAGTCGGACAGAATTTTATAAGTAAATTTAACTTTTCTTAATTGATGCTAATATTCTTTATCTTATGATTTTAGAGCTATTATAAACGACGGCAACAGTTGAGCGAGAACATTTAAGTTATACTGATATTTGAGTGAATTGGGTAGGATAACTTATACATGCCTATATTTGCTACGGTTCTGATAATGTAATAATATACAAATAATGAATGTTTTTATTCGTGCAATGGTAAGAATATTTTGATGAGGTGAAAGATGGAATGTTCCATTCAACGAGGCGACAGCCGAGTTGAATGGAACATTCCATCTTTCACCGAAATAGACTAATATTAAAAGGTTTACTGTAAGATTTCGCCATTTTGACGAGTCGTATTTGCATTAAATCCCATTTACTGAGTGTCGAATATCGGGTTAAAATAAACTGCGATCACCGTACGAGAAGCATTTTGACGGATGCGATTTATCGAAAACACAAAGAGTGCAATGGAACCAAACGTATAGTACAATTGCACTCGCAAGAGTGCAATGGAACGTATTCCATTGCACTCTTGGGAAATGGAATTTTCCATTCAATATCACGTGACCATAAACAGCCAATTAAACGATCAGAATTCAATAAGGTATTATATAATCTAGAATGAAACAAGCTAACCAAGCATTTAAATTGTATATGTGAGTGCATGAATGGACCATTTGCATTATAGACTAAATTTTGATCTAGATAAAAATTTCATCACAGCTTGGAAGAGCATCACAAAATTAGTAATATTCCAAAGTTTCGTTGCGAAATGTTGTAAAATGCGGATAATATAGCCCTGCGAAGTTTGTAATTTTCAGTCATTTTGTATTATAAACGGGAAATTGATGCCCCAACACCCGATTGGGCTGTCAATTTCCCATGCGTAATACAAAATGACTGAAAAACGGCAAACTTCGCATGACTATATTATCCGAATTTTACAACATTTCGCAACGAAACTTTGGAATATTACTAATTTTGTGATGCTCTTTTAAGCTGTGATGAAATTTTTGTCTAAATCAAAATTTAGTCTATAATGCAAATGGTCCATTGGGTGGGATAACTAACATGCCTAGTTTCCACTGTTCTGATAATGTGAGCATATAGAATGAAACAAAGGTAACCAAGCATTTAAATTATATATGTGAGTGAATTGGGTGGGATAACTCACATGCCTAGTTACCACTGTTATGATAATGTAAGCATAGAATGAAACAAAGGTAACCAGACATTTAAATTGTATACGGGAGTGAGTTGGGTGCATGGGATAACTAACATGCCTAGTTACCACTGTCCCGATAATGTAAGCATATAGAACTAAACAAAGGTAACCAGGCATTTAAATTGTATATGTGAGTGAGTTGGGTGCATGGGATAACTAACATGCCTAGTTACCACTGTTCTGATAATATAGGTATAGAATGAAACAAAGGTAACCAGGCATTTAAATTGTATACGTGAGTGAGTTGGGTGCATGGGATAACTAACATGCCTAGTTTCCACTGTTCTGATAATGTAAGCATATAGAACTAAACAAAGGTAACCAGGCATTTAAATTGTATACGTGAGTGAGTTGGGTGCATGGGATAACTAACATGCCTAGTTTCCACTGTTCTGATAATGTATAGAACAAAACAAAGGTAGCCAAAAATCGAACCCACTGTGCCTATAGTTGCATTTTTCGCAACTGCTCCTGGTTAGATCTAATAAATGTACAAAAATTCACACTCAAAATTTCCATCTACAAAACCCTTCTACAATTTGTTATATCGAGTATGGATGTCCAAAATCCCAGTGATATTTGCCAATGAGTGAATTGGATGGCTCCGTCATAAACACGAGTTAGCTGATTAAATCTAACATGGAACTGGACTCAATCCATGCAGTCACTAATCTAATTATATGGAGAGCTCACTGCACGGTATAAAACAAGCTTTGTATAACTAAAATAATATTATAGTATAGATTTCACTGTTCGATTTAGCGGCCTTAAACCAATCTTTATAACAACATACTTCACCATAATCAATTAACAGTCAATTTCTTATCAATACATGTGTCAGCGATCTCTCACTCAAATAAAATAATTGTCCCATTTTCAGCGAGTGCAATCAAATTTGCGTAGCCAACAGTAACATGTTTAAACTTTCCCTCTTGCACCTTCGCCCATTTTTCACCGGTCGGATTTGCAGCACAAATTCCTAACCTCGTATACAACTCGTGTTCATGCGAGATAGCGTACACACTTCCCGTCAAGCCCGAGTCCAGTTGAATGAAATTACCATCCACATTCAACCATGAACTTCCCATGCAATTTTCAGCCGTTACATCAGTACGGAACGAGGTAGAGTTATCAGGTTTAATAGCCCAACAACCAAAACCCCCGCACGAGACGTACTTAAATTTGTAACCAATTTCAACATATTGGAACTCCATCCCAGATGGTCTAGCCTCGGTTATGCCTGCCATACAGAAAACGTCATTATGGACATTAACGCCATATACTATGCCAAATAAACCCGAATCGATTTGTTTAAGTAAACCTGAGATCTGTCTCCATGTATCCCCGACTGGATTTGTGCTGGAAACGCCTTCACGAAAGTAGATATAATGATTGATGTTCACTCCCCAGATTCCTGCCTTTCCGCTTGTAACGTGAATTAATGAGCCGCCGATTTTTTCCCAGTTTCTGGGTTTCTGTTGTAAGTTACGGGAGACTATTTCGGTATTTATAGTTACAGCCCAAGCTTGTTGCCCGCTATCAACTTGAACAACGTTTCCTGTTATTTGCTTGGCTGGAGGGCGGAACTGACGGCTTAGGTTACCTAGATTTAAGAAAAATAACTAGTTGATCGGACTTCTAATTTGGCCATGTAAGCAGGTGGATTAATTATAACGGTCGGCAATCAGTTATTTGCCGAACAAAAACTCTAATTGGCCGATTCATTCTATTCCATACGGACATGTTGACAAAATGTGCAAATTTTATTTGGATACATACTGTACAACGTTTTCTTGGCTTCTCTGTGATGGACAACAAAAGTTTATCACCATGTTTATGGTGCCAGACATGCAGAAAATTCGAAAACAACATCCATAGGCGCAAGAAATGTTCTGTTTCATGGATCGTTGCATGGGACTGTTAACCAAAACTAAACTTAATGATGGTTCCTGGTCATCATCGGTCTTGCGAGGAGTGATCGGCACGACCAATCAGTGTAAATATTGAAAAGCTGGCCAACCATTATTAGCCAATAGTCGAATACTAATATACGTCAAAATCGGTAAAATGTCCTTCCCAGTCAGGTGGGATGAGACCATCATGTGGAAAATTCTATCCCACTTGACTGGGATCCCACCCAGATCAAGATGTGATCTCACCTAGACAGGCTGGCTCGATTCTTATATGAACACAAATTGATTATTATATGCGTTAACAAGGGCATGCAGATCGTACTCGATCAGGTGAGTTTCCCGGTTACTTGGGCTCATATGAACTGACCCTCAGAGATTGGCCTATACTGCATGGACTTCAAGTATCGAGAATTAACATTTATGAACTCATAAAGTTATCCAGTATGAATAAAGTTAGGTTAGTGTGTATGCTTACTGGCTGGACAAACACAGTCTGTTAAAGTATATCCTTTTGCACATTGGCATGTACAAGTCTTGCCATCACACAGTCCTTCATTTTGACAACTTGGATTGCAGCATGTCTTCGATTCCTGGGCGGGAAAGTTAATATCATTTAGACATTTACTATAGAACATATAAATCGAATGTGTAAAAGACCTACCCCTTAATTTTTGTCTGGGCTGAAGTACTCGCAGAATACCTGTCGTGTTTGGTAGAGTCAAACTGGAAGCACTCTTCTCACATGCGACTGAGGTGTGAAATTTTAGTCATACAAACAGAATGCGAACCTCGGCAGTGGGTGGGGGCCCTCCTCCCCCCTGCCCGATGATTTTCAGAGAGTGGTTTGATTCGTTGAAAAATAGGGGAGGAGGGTGGAAAATTGTCGTCAGACAGTGTTACGTATCTTGTGCGCATCTATAAAGCTCTATGTGTCTATGTCTTCCAATTTCAATTCATGAAATATTCTGAAATTAATATTTGCCACTGTTAGAAAGTTATTTTTTAAGACGTTTACATTTTTCTCCAATTGCCTCCACAATGCAAGAAATGTTGTCTCAGAGTAGTCAGAGACGCAAAATTCACATTTTTCGGGAGATCATGCCCCCGGACCCCTAGAAGTGTGACTCACAAATTTTTAAGTTGCCTCCCCCCCCCCATAAAATCTTGTCACCGCACAGAAGTGTTTTATTAGCCTGCATAACTGGCGGGTTTTTTAAAGGGTTGGGGTTGAAGCGCGGGTATAGCGTAAATTATAGGGAGCCCAACACCACCGCCATCTACACACAGGCTACTGTTTTACCAATCGCAAGGGTCCAATTTTTCAGTTCCTTACCAAATGAAAGTACGATGCTGTTTCATCTTTCAAGAAGGAATCCTCGTTTAGACTTGTCTCAGTATAGAGCAAACACTCTGCGCCACAATTCTTCGTTTCTACTGCAGCAAATGAACGACAGAATGAAATATGGAGACATTTCGTCAAACATTCACCAATTCTGGCAGCACAATGTGTTTTCCAAGGGCTTATATTTGGTCTTCTGTCTGTTCGAAGTAAAATAAAACGTTCACGTCAAGAGAGTCCAGGCTGGAAAATGGCAGTCCGGAGACATTTTCCCAGGGAAAAAGTTACCTAGATTTTAGGCTTCAAAACCAAGGGGCTGTGAAATGTTGATTCCTCCATCTTTTTGGCACCTTTTCACTTAATTATCAGAATTTTGGGTATCTCACGTAAAGCTGGTTTACAACTATCAAAGTTTCTGTGACCGCAGTAGGAATTTTACATTAAATTCTAAGCTTTGACGAATTTGTAAGAAAGGTTTGAGGGAACAGACATTTCCCCTTATGAGTGAAATTTTGATCTAGATATGCCTGGGCAACAATTTCATCATAGCTTGAAAGAGCGTCACAAAATTAGTAATATTCCGAAGTTTCATTGCGAAATGTTGTAAAATGCAGATAATATATAGCCTTGTGAAGTTTGCCGTTTTTCAGTCATTTTGTATTACAGTCTAATATTTTGCATCAGTTTGATCATCTGATTATCAATTTCCCGTTTGTAATACCAAATGACTGAAAAACGGCAAACTTCGCAAGGCTACATTATCCGCATTTTACAACATTTCGCAACGAAACACTTTACTAATTTTGTGATGCTCTTTCAAGCTGCGATGAAATTTTTGTCCAGACTTGTCTAGATCAAAATTTCACTCAAAAGGGGAAAGGTCTACTGACTCAGTGTTAAACACGTTTGTCTGTTCCCTCAAACATTTCTTACAAATCCTTCAAAACTTGGAATTTACGTTAAAGTATTCGTAACTGATCTTTATTGGCATTTACAGATCAGCTGCTCATAAAGATCAGCTGCTCATATATTAACTACAGTAGTTGAATTGCTAAGGAGCACGAATCTGACTTTAGGCTTTATATATTTGTCTTACTTTTAAATTCCTTGGCCTTGATAACATTACAACCGCTCACAGATGATGCTGAAATGTAAAATATATATAAGTACATATAGTGAAGTTCAGAGATTGTGAGTATATCTATTAAACCCTCAGCCTTTAAACATTTATAAATAAAAAAAGATTCATTTGTACATGTCCCTATATATATAGTTTTAGTGCGAAATTGGATGTTGTTCAATTTACACGGTGTCAATGACCCACCAATTGGCAAAACTCAACTGGACACAAAATCTACTTGTGCACTTATTTCTCTCAATATCTCCAAACACAATTAAATGAATAGGAGTTTTTTTGTATGTTACGTGACACGCGCTCAAAACTAATGAGTATAATATACCCAATCGTTTAACAAATATATATAGTATATTTAGTGCTTTATCTGTAAAATAATAGTAAAATAAAGAGATTTTAGATGGTGCGCCAAAGAGAAAATGATGTCTGAAGTTCATTAAGTTTTGATTAAATCGCTGTAGATATGCATATGGCGTCACTTAATTGAAGAATCATTGATAATTGTATTTTAATTTATAAGTTTTTACTATTATTTTATGTTTCTCAACCGGCAAATGCATTTAAAAAGGTGGCTAACTGTATAAACTAGAGAATATATGGAGTTTTCCACTTCAATCGTAACGTATCGTAGCATTTTCTTTTGCGTCGAAGTCTGATTAGTTCCACTCTAGTACATGAAATAAACGACCTTGGGCCAAAGCAAAGTAATTTTGGGAGGTATACGCCAAAAAGATTTTCGATTTTGAACACTTTTCATCGCAAATAGGGGACACAGAAAAAATGTGCCTCTTAAGTACACATGCAAGAAAATGAAAACACAAATAAAAGGTTTTGACTCCAAAAACTTGAGTAAAATAATAAACCCACAGTGACTCAAAATATTGAGTTAAATTACTAAATTTATGAGAAAATTTGCTCTTGACTTTTTTGTAAATTTTTGCTAAAAAAACTGACTATATTTTAAACGTTACTCGTAAATTGCTCATTTGAGTCTTTTTACTCAAAATTTTGAGTCACTGCGGCCGGCGCATTAATTTACCCAAGTTTTTCAGTCTATATACTCAGCCATACTGTACCCTCTTTCACTTGTAAATCTGCACCTTGTCCATAGTAGATTGGAAAAACAAAATATAAGAGGAAAATGAAAGATCTTGACAACAAAAACAACATACTAACAACAACGCGGCACAATTTTCAGTTTCACAAGATATATACTTAAACATTAAAATTACACACTTTCCACATCAAATTTTTAACGGAAAATTTTAATGAAAACTTATTAAATTTTAATTAGAATCAATATAATATGTTGTATTTATACAATATAACATCAGTCCATGAGTTCATTTATATGTGAGAAAAATTGCATTTTCATTAGTTTGTTATAATTGAAATCCATAAAAACCAATTATGACTCGTCGCATACAGCTATTTCAATTAAGGTTGTTCCCCGAGCAAAGCGGAAAAGTCGAATACGAGCGCGAAAGGCTGCTGGGAATCGCTAATAAATTCATTCAAATATTAGCGAATCCCAGCAGCCTTTCGCGCTCGTATTCGACTTTTCCGCTTTGCTCGGGGGACAACCTTAATTGAAATAGCTGTATACTGTTTATAAGCAAACTATATTGCTTAATCGTATCCCACCATCAAACGTTTTTTAACTATTCGCCTTTGACGAATACAGAAAAAATGCTATTTAGCCTATACACAATCAAGTTAGAAAAGGTTTTCGTATATTTTACAATAATTAGAAAACGAATAATATATACTATAATGTATATTGTTATTCCTACAAATGTTATAGAAGAAGTGCTTAATTATTTATGGTTGGACATATATAACATTTTAATTGTGCAAACCGTTAGGATAAAGGATATTTACAAGTGTAAACTGCAGAACCCCCGAAATAGGGGGTGACTGCTCCGCCGTTTCCTTTTAGCAGGAGGGAAAGACGGTGGGAGGGGGGAAGTGTTGCCTTGCATCTATCACAATCAGTGATCGGAATTTCCATTTTTAAATTTCCATTGTTCCTCATGCCATCAAGTCACTCGTTGTTCTTACCTATTTGTGCCGTAATGCAACATCCTGTTATTTGAATGCTGTTCTTAGGGTTTGTAATCCAAGTGAGTATATATACCGGGTGTCCCAAAAAAAAGTACTCCGGTTTGATTCGTAATAACTTCTAACCAAGTAAAGCTTTGAAAGAGAAATAACTTGCATCAAATAGAGGAAGGACGAACTTAGATTTTGATATATTACAGTTGTATTTCACTTAAAAATTCACGGAGATATTAGTGTTTAAAATCGGAAGCATATTTCTGGATGTGTCTGAAATATGCAAAAAACAGCGTATCAAATATTAATCAAAATTTGCCCGACTGAAACATGCACTATTACCAGTAAATAAATGACACTTGACAAATTGTTTATTATGAAACAAAGTATTATTATACAAGCAAGATTTATTCGTCCGAAATCCGCGTCTGTTCCTGTCACGAATACGTTTCCTTATTTCGTGAGACCACTGCATCACGAAGGATCGTCATGCATGGATCGTTCGTTCGTAGTTCTGAATTAGGGCATGCTGTCACAATGGAATTGTGAATTTTCTAACTTCACATTGAATGAATTTTCTAACTTCTGCAACGTTCTGAAATCTTGTTAAGAACACCCAAACTCTTTTTCCTTTCTTAATCTTGGCAAGTTCAGAATAAACTGAGAATGAAACAAAATCAAACCAGGCATACAACTCCATAAGTAAAGACATAACAAGCAACTCCCCAGAGACGTCCAACATTTTTGGAACAAAACGTACAAAATAGTAGCGTTGATACTGTGATGTGTATTTGCAAAAGGCAATATTATTTCCTTCATTAAAGAATAATATTCATCCTGCTCTAACCGAGAAATAATCAACTTGGTTTTGAACCCATGAAAAACAAAAAAAAATTAGGCTATTTAAGAAAAATTTAAGCGCCTGCCTTGCATGGTCTTTCATGTACCTTTAAGTTTGCAAAGACCTATTAAATACTTGCATAATTTCGAAAGTTCATATTTCAGGAAACAATGAGTTAAGACATACAAGTAAGATGTCTAAATCTACGCCATATCTCTTACAAACCCCAACGACAATTCGCTGAAATACAAGTTAGCCTGATATGTCATTCAGCAAACAAACGCTGGAGATAATATTTGATATGCCGATTTTCGCTAATTTTAGACACATCCTAAAATATGCTCCAGATTTTGAACATTAATATCTCTGTGAATTCTTAAGAGAAATACAACTGTAACACATCAAAATCTAAGTTAGTCCTTCCTATATTTAATGCAATTTATTTCTATTTGATAGCTTTATTTGTTTAGAAGTTATTACAAATCAAACAGGAGTACTTTTTTTGGGACATTCGGTATATGGCCCAGTTGGTTAGTGCGTCGTACTTATAAGCAGTACTTGAGTATATGCGAAGGTCGAGGGTTCGATCCCCTCCGAGAGCAAGTTTTTTGCCCAACCATCCCTATCTTTCTCTAACCAACAAGCCACGGCAGCAATTCGTCTTATTAAATGTCCTTATTATTTACGAAAACTTGTTATTTTGAAAAAATTCGTACACCAACTATACACTAGCAAACAAAGACACCGCAGCAGTTCGTCCTAATCGCCATATCATTTAGGAAACCTATTGTTTTGAAAACAATTTCAACCAAAACGCTATAGGCTGACATATGCACTCTTTACCGCTCAATAATTGCTAGGCCCATAACCCAGAGGTCAAGCAGATCGTGATCATTTTCTGCTATTATTATCAATCATTATTAAAGTCGAGGGTTCGATCCCCTCCGGCAGCACGTTTTTAGCAATCCTTTTCTAACCAACAGGACCACCGCAGCAATTCGCCCTAATCTCCATATTATTTACGAAATCTGTTGTTTTGAGGAAAAAGTTCGACAAAAATCCGTGGGTGACATCTGCATTCATCCACGCTCAATAATAACAATAGCTATTGATTGTTGGGTTGTGTGGCCAGTAGGTTCTATATTGTAACAATTTCTTGTCTGTTTACAATCTATTTCACTGAATTGGTGCAGTGGCTTCTTTACAAGTTTAAGGGAAATATGTTGCTTCCTGATTTTCTAGATTTGGAAAATGTATACAACAGGCTGATTCCAAGCACCAACCTGCAGGGTGGCGCAGTAGAAGCGTGCTGGGCCCATAACCCATAACCCAGAGGTCAATGGATCGCAACCATTTTCTGCTATTGTTATTATGGGGCGTTTATGCATGCCGGTGCCACCTACCATTTTCTTCTGAATACAATAGTTTTCGAAAGTAATACGACCTTTCTCGCGACCTGCTACCGTCGTCCTGTTTGTTAGTACGTGGTGCTTATAAACTGTACAACCGTTACTATTTATTGCAATTGTGCATTGCTTGTCGTACTCTATCCATCAAGTCCAAGAATGAAGATACCAA